GAAACAACAGATTTTTCCCTTAAAATGATACATTCTCTCAGTTTAAACTTTTGATCTGTGATTTGTGTTCTATTCTGAATAAAATATTAGATGTTGGAACCTCCACATCATTGCATTCAGTTTTTATTCACAATTTTTTTAGTGTCCCAACTTTTTTGGATTCCGGTTTGTAGATGTTTGGGGACATATCGGTATCTGGTCCCGTCTCATTATGTGCCAATATAAACACTTCTAATTTTCACCCCTAAATGCTGGAACCAGCTGTAATTGTACAATGTATCCAGCAGAGGGCGCATGAAGACTACTTTAATGTCATGGCCGTTCACTTAAGTTTCACTTTTGACTACAGCACAGCCGAAGCAGGGAGTGATAGTGTTACACTATTAGTGTAACATATTTTGCTGAACAGAGCATGGTAAGTTTAATTTAACTGATCTGTAAAATAAATCAACAAAAATAAATTCTCTTCAATCCTCCAACCCACTTGTCATTAGCTACGTGCCTCTCAAGTTAGCAAGCTAACTTTAGTGTTCAGTTGCGCCACCTTCACATTAGTCCCTTTGTCAATAGTTACAGCAACCAGTCCTGTCGGACGAAGCTTCCAGTTTGTGAGGACATCCAGTGTTAGTAATGCTATATTTGTTCTCCTCAATAAAACACATTGTTTCTGTGAAATCTTTGCTTCTCTCCAAAGAGAAAAAAAAAACAAGCTCCTGCAGTCGATACACAGGTTAGTCTCATTGATCCTCGAGGACTCATTTACATGAGAGACCTGTTTTAAATAGAGATGCACCGATCCGATACTGATATCGGTCCCGATATCGTAAAAACTTCTGGATCATTGGTGACAATGTGACCGATCCATGACTGGGCAGATCTATTCACTCTAAATCTATGCTTTGTGCTCTGAGTGGCGTCACGCGCTAACGAACTCACTGCACAGATTGTTTTCAATGGAGTGAGCGAAAGGATCAGCCATCTGGAACTATTTCACACTACCTCAGCCAACACATTCGACATCTACGTGCAATACGTGCACAGCGACGGTTCCAGGGGGCGTCACTAAAAATTCCAGTTATAACACTACCAACTTAATCAAGCATCTCCAGAGATTTCACCCTAAAGAGACGCTGAGTTTGTTGAACAGAATTCAGCACTGCTGTTCTGTATCGGATCGGTATCGGCAGATACTAAACCTCAGATATCGGTAATGGAAGTGGAAAAAGTGGATCAGTGCATCCCTAGTTTTAAACAAAGAACACACAAAAAAAGGATATACGTGAAAAGTAAATGGAAGCAATGATATAAAAACTAAACAAAAGCAGCTACATTATAAGGCAATGTAGAAAACTAAAAACCGGAACATGCCTGCATTGGTTTTTGCCAAGAACTTAGCAGTTGTTTAAAATCCCTTAGAGAGGTCAAGGTCGAGAGCTTCAGATCTTTTTGCAAGATATTCCAGGAAACAGGAGCGGAGTAGGAGAAGGTCCTTTTGCCAAGTTCAGTCCTCACTGAGGGAACACTGCAGGTAATAATGTCCTGAGAGCGCACGCTGTAGCTGCACTCACACAGAGACATGTAGGAGGAGATGTATGAAGGCAGCAGACCAAGAAGTGATTTAAAGATGAAAATGTACCAGTGAGAGAGTCTGCGTGAAGTTAATGATGTCCAGTTAACCAGTGAATACAGGGTGCAGTGGTGGGTACGAAAATCACAGCCAGTTATGAATCTTAGTGCACCATGATAGACAGCATCCAACATCTGCAGTTGAAAAATAATCTCAAATCAAAGCTTTTAGTGACCAACCACAAGTTAGGCTCCTGGTTGTGCCTCCAGAGACGGACTAGTTTATTAGTCACCACATGACAGGCCTCAAACCAAGCACATGGTCATGAACTTCAACTAGACCTGGCTATGAGCTAGTTTCATCTTTCAACCAGCAGCTAACATTTGACCAAGACACCCAAACGAAGCTGTTCACGTTCACTTCAAGCTGGACTTTCACAGATTGACCTCTTGTGTGGACGGAGGAGCGGGAGACAATCTGTCCACAGAGAGGAGTCGAGCTCAGATGTGGAACTGAACATCTGGTCCAGCTGCATGGTGTCATGTAAACCAGATGTCCTCAGGCCCAAACGTCAGCAGGTCCTGCAGTTCCCTGGTGCTTCAGTAGCCGTTAGCACAACGGTCAGCCATCATTCGCTCCCGGTACGTCGGGGATTCTTCAAACATTTTTCATAGCACTTTTGTTTGGAGTAGTTTTCAGTCCACCCATCTATCATCCATCCATCCATCTGTCCATCCATCATCCATTCATCTGTACATCCATCCATCTGTCCATCCATCCCTCCATCCATCCATCTGTCTGTCCATCGATCCATCCGTCCATTGATCAATCCATCCATCCATCGATCCATCCCTCCATCCTTCTGTCCATCCCTCCGTCCATCCATCTAGCTATCCATCCATGCATCCATCATCCATGCATCCATCATCCATCTGTCCATCCAATCCTCCATCCATCCACCTGTCTCTCCATCGATCCATCTGTTCATTGATCAATCCATCCATCTATCCATCCATCCATCCATCCATCCATCCATCCTTCTGTCCATCTATCCTTCATCCATCCATCTAGCTATCCATCCATCCATCTGTCCATCCATCCGTCCATCCATCCGTCTGTCTGTCCATCCATCCATCCGTCTATTGATCCATCCATCCTTCAGTCCATCCGTCCCTCCATCCATCCATCTGTCTCTCCATCGATTCATCCGTCTGTCCATCCATCCATCGATCAATCCATCCATGCATCCATCCATCTGTCCATTCATTCATCCATCCATCCATCTATCCATCCATCCATGCGTAAATCATCCATGCATCCATCCATCCTTCTGTACATCCATCCATCCGTCCATCCATCCATCCATCTGTCCATCTATACATTCTGTCCATCCATCTAGCCATCCATCCATACATCCATTATCCATGCATCCATCCATCCATCTGCCCATCCATCCATCAGTCTGTCCATCAATCCATCCATCCATTGATCGATCCATCCATCCATCCTTCTGTCCATCCATCCTTCAGTCCATCCATCCTTCTGTCCATCCATCCTTCCGTCCATCCATCCATCCATTATCTTCCGCTTGTTCTGAAGTCAGGTCTCGGGGGCAGCAGCTTGAGCAGGGAGGTCCACACATCTCTTTCCACAGCCTCTTCCAGCTCTTCTGGGAGGACTCCAAGGTGTTCCCAGGCCAACAGAGAGACATAGTCTCTTCAGCATGTCCTGAGTCTTCCCCGGGGTCTCCTCCTAGTTGGACATTCCTGAAAAACGTCCCTAAAGTGACGTCAAGGAGGCGTCTTTACCAGATGCTCAGACCACCTCAACTGGCTCCTCTCGATGTGGAGGAGCAGCAGTTCTACTCAGTGTGTCTCCAGGATAACTGAACTTCTCACTCTATCTTTAAGGGAAAGTCCAGAACTCAGAATTTTTTTTTACAATTAAAACAAATTTAGTGCAAACACCCCCCCCCCCCCCCACACACACACACACACACACACACCCACACACACAAATATCACTTTTGTGTAAGTATTCATCCTTTATTTAATACTGACAAGTGAACAAAAGTGGACCAAGAACATTTTCACAATATAACGTAGAATGACTGAACCCCATCACAAAAGTTGTTTTAAATCTTCATAGTCTTGTTGGTTTTATCTCTTGTGCTGAGATGCTGCACTTATGTCTAGAGCCCGACCGATATGGAAATTCTGGCTATCGTCAATACCGATATTGGATGAGGAAGGCTAATGCTGATAACTGATATAATGGATGACAGTTTTAGAGCTTTGTCCACCCCCAATAATCTCAGTAAACATCTACTTTTAAACCTGTTTTAACACTTGAAGTCTTGAAACGGTCTTCCTAACGTGCGTTCACATTTTTCATCATCCACTTTTCACCATAAAGTTATCAAGAGAGTTAAGAAATATAAATTAAACAAAGAAACACCCATCCCTGTTCATTGTTTAAACAGTTAGTCACATATGGTGAAGGTCTAATTAGTATTGTCAGCAGCGGCGTGTTTTTTTTTTATTTATTTTTATTTTTTTCAGAAAAGTACAATTTCAGACAAACAATTCATTTCGTTGAGGATGACAAAGATAAAGGTACTAACACTGATATATTTTACCTCTATGTTAGATTTATTGTTCTGGATAACGTTTTATAAGGAAATAGCCTATGCTAGGTTATCTAAACAGTAGCCTGCTAACTTGAGAGGCACGTACAATAACAAGCAGGTTGGAGGATTGAAGATAATTTATTATTGTTGATTTGTTTTTAAAGATCAGTTAAAATAAACTTACTATGCTCTGTTCAGCAAAAGTATACAAAGTATTTACTTGCTTCCTGCTTTGTCTGTGCTGAAAGTGAAACTTAAAGTGAACAGTCATGACTTGAAAGAAGGCTGCATGCGCCCTCTGCTGGTTACATTGTACAATTACACCATTTGCAAATAAGGACATGGCTTATTTCCATCATTTTAGAGGTGAAATAATGAGTCAATCATCACAGATACCGATATATCCCAAATATCTACATTGGCCTAGAATATTGGCCCTACCGGTGTATCAGTCGTACTCCAGTTAAGTCTGAAACCACCAAACCAAACCACCATCAGTGTGATTTACTTTGTTTTTACATTGGTTTACTTTTTCCTTTGCAAACCACGACAAAACAAGGTTCACTGGCAACACAATTAATGCTGACAAACACTTCAGGGTCATCTTCATTTGGATCCACGTTCGACAAGCAAATAGTATTTTTGATTAGTCGCAGCAGAAACTTCTGCTGTGAACTGAAGTAGACATAGTCCCACCTTACAAAAACAGCAACAAACATTTTGTCCTTTTGAATCAGAGGTATATGTAATAAAGAAAAGATGGACTGGTGACTGCTGACTGACTTCACTTTATTGTGTGTTCAGCCGAGGACCGTGGCAGGTTTCAGAGGAACGGTCCGCTACGCTTCAGTAAATGCTCACAAAAACAAGGTCGGTCTCTTGTGTTGTTTTTACCAGCTACAAAGTCTAGTTGCTACAGAAAATGTCACTTTTCATTTTACTCACTTTGTTTTCTGAAACAAGGTTTAAGACACTTTTTAAAGATATAATGTTCTACAGTATCTTCTGAAAATAATTAAATTTGATTATTGTCCCACAAGACAAAAAGTGCTGCTAAATATTTATTGAACTCAGTCTGTACAGAAACCTGACATGTCTAACATGTACAGTACATTGCTGTAAATCCTAAATCCTGAGCATTGTGTGTGTGTGTGTGTGTGTGTGTGTGTGTGTGTGTGTTTTTGCAGGAAATGGGTCGCCATGATGACCTTTGGTCCTTGTTTTACATGCTGGTGGAGTTTGCAGTTGGACAGCTACCTTGGAGGAAGATCAAAGACAAGGTCAGATGGTTTCATCTCAAACTAAACCGCACACATTGTTTGAATAATTCTTTATTTGCATCAGTAACAGTGTTGCTATTTGGTTTGATGTCAGTTTTTCCCCTAAAGAATCAGTAATTTGAAAATTACACAACATAATGGACACTCCAACAAGTTAAATTCATTACTATCAAAACTAGATGAATATAAAAATGTAGTACTCGTATACACATTTTAAAACTGGGACAAAAACAGTCATAACCTTTGAAGCCAGATGCAACCGACTCATAATAATTGAAAAATGACCAAGGAGTCATTCAGCTCCCTTGAAATGAACTTACAGATGATCCTAACTGGGGGTCCGTACACTATTCCCAGTTCACTTTAAGCTTTTTAGGATAGAAAGAATTATTTGTGAGAAGAGGGATAATGTTGTGATTTGTTCATTTTTTAAATGTTGTGTCAGCAATTATACTGGGGACAAAGTAAACGATCCAACCCCATAAATCAACGTGCGTTTGTCATTTAAATTTCACTTTATTCAATCAGGACATTAAACACAAAGGAAATGGTGGTGCAGAGGTTAGAGATGGTGGACCTGTGATCGGAAGATTGCTGGTTCAATTCCTGGTACCAACAAAATCAAAATGTGGGTGGAATAGGTAAAACACCCACACCTGCCTCCACCCTCATTTGCTCCACTCTGGGCCCTTGAGCAAGGCCCTTAACCCCCACCATCTTCTCCCCTGGGTGCCCTAGATAGCAGCTCTCTGCTCCACACAGAGGGTTGTGGTGGCTCGGTGTCTGTGGTTGTGTCAGGAAGAACAGCCGACGTAAAAACAATCGCCAAGTCTTCGTGCGACTTGGCGACCCCTGAAGAAAGGAGCAGCCGAAAGAAGGGAAAAAATTAAACACATTAATGTGAAAACATTTAAAGCATTGCACCAGATTTAGCCTTCCGCTAACAGAGGAACTAACTCTATGTTAAGTGGATTAGCGTCTTTGTTCAATTTTAAAACATTTAGCAGATTTAGCTTCTACCAAATTGAAATCCACTAAATTTTTTAAACGATCGTTCTCCACACTAGAAGCATACAGGAGAACGGTGATTTACACAGCACCGCGCAGTGACGGCACCACCCTCACAGTGCTCTCCCCCCCCCCCCCTCATATCTAACAGTCTCTGACTCATGGTGTCAGTTTACAGCCAATAACAGACTTTAGCATAAATGCCAAACCAGAACAGGAAAATAACACACAAAAACTGTTTTCACACTCAGAAACATTGTAAACAGTCAGGAACAATGCACACATAATTCCTACCCAGCATGCTTTGCAAAACTCACACTGTTTCTGGGATATGACTCTCTCACACATTCCACACATTAATACAAATAGATTTATTAGAGAGAATATTGATGATGACGAACAGCAACTTTGTAGTTAGTTTATAAAGGTAGTTAACCACAAACAGGATCTCGAAAGTGAATTATGACACAAGAGAGACGTCCGACACACATTGAACACATCACTCTGCTTCAGCACAGCAGAGTTCTGCTCCTCATCTTTGGTTCAGATGGACCAGATTAGATTCTGAACGCTCACCTCTGAACGGGACATGGACACTTTACCTGTGATTTATGGACCGTTCTGAGAATGTTGTCACATCACAGACGGTCTTACAATGTCAGCGACAGCAGAGTATAAGTTATTGCTAACAATAGGTCATTATTAACTACTTAATAGGTACAGATTTGACAACAGTTCAAAATAATTTGATATTTATTTTTCTAGGAGCAAGTTGGCCAGATTAAAGAGCGATATGACCATCGGATGCTGCTCAAACACATGCCTTCAGAATTTAGTGTGTTCCTGGACCACGTTCTGGCCCTGGATTACTACACCAAACCAGATTACCAGGTACTCACAACATGAGGGAAGAATGAAAAAAATACAAAGAAAAAACTATCCAGGTTCATAAAATCTCAAGTGTGAGTTTATCTTAGTTGTATTTATTTACTTGTGGTCTAGCTGCTGATGTCAGTGTTTGAGAACAGCATGAAGGAGCGAATCATCACTGAAAACGAGCCCTTCGACTGGGAGAAAGGTGGAAGTGATGCCACTCTGTCGACCAGTGCCTCCACTCAACCACAGCACAACACCCGACCGACCGCGGCCATGGTGGGGTAAGAACCAAACCATACCAGAACTGAGCCAGATGCAAGATTTATATGTTAAACAATCAACGATTTCTTGTTTTCTTCACAATGAACGAATTCTAGTGGGTTTATGTTGATTTACTGAAATGATGCAGAATGTACACCTTTGTAAGACGAGTGCAACCCCGATTCTGAAAACAGTTTGGACATTGTGTAAAATTTAAATGAAAACAAAATAGAAGGATTTTTAAATCTCATCAGTTCAATTTTTTTTATTCATAATGGAAAACATGTTTATAAACATATTTGTACAATTCTTAGGAAAAATGAAGTAATTTTGAATGTTAGAGCAGCAATACATCTTATCAAAGTTTGAACAGGGCCATGATCACCACTCTGAATCATCCCATCTTTTTAACAGCACTTTGTAAACATCTATGATTGGAGGAGAACCCGCTGTTAGAGTTCTTGTAGCAGAACATTGTCCCATTCTTGTCTGATGGAGGTCTCGCAACAGACCTGGGTCTTCTTTGCTATATTTTTGCTGGATAATTTAAATGCTGTTCCCAAACCTGTATATATTTTTCTGTATAATTGTGTCTTTCCAGATGTTTAAACTGCCCATGCCATAGGTACTAATGCAACCCCATACCATCAGAGAGGCAGGTTTTTGAACTGTTTGCTGATAACAGGTCAGATGGCTTCTCTCCTCTTTAGTAAAGAGCAGAGCCTGACTAATGTGGAAATTTTGGCTATCACCAATACCGATAATGGGAGGTGAAGTTAATGCCGATAACCGATATACTTCCTGAAAATTTCTGTGCTTGGTTCAACCCAAGGATCTCAGTAAACATCTACTTTTAAACATGTTTTAACACTTGAAGTCTTGAAACGGTCTTCCTAACGTGTGTTCACATTTTTGATCCTCCACTCTTCACCATAAAGTTATCAAGAGTGATACAAAAATATAAATTAAACAAAGAAACACCTTCTCTGTTCATTGTTTAAACAGTCACATATGGTGAAGGTCTAATTAGTGTTGACCACAGCAGAGTTTATTTTTTTTTGCAGAGAAGTAAAGATTTCAGACAAACAATGTATTTCACTGACACCAAAGATAAAGTTACTAACACTGATATGATTTACTTGTATGTTAGATTTATTGTTATGGATAAAGTTTTACAGGGCAATAGCCTGTGCTAGGTTATCTAAATGTTAGCTTGCTAACTTGAGAGGCACATAGCTAATGACAAGCGGGTCGGAGCTTGTTCCCAGTGTATATATTGGTGCATAATGGGCCAATTATCACAGATACGACATGTCCCCAAATGCCTATCGGCCTAAAACATTGGCCCTATTGATATATCGGTCAGGCTCTAGTATAGAGTATATGGATGGTGTCTGTGATTTAAAAATAAATAAATAAATAAATAATAATTTTTCCATTTATCAAACAACAAAGCAGTTTCGGAATCAGAATGGTTTTATTGTCATTGCACTAAGCACAACAAAACTTCATTTCAGTACAGCCGTCCAAAGAAACAAAAAGACAACCAACAATATAAAAGTAAAGGTTGAATGAATAAGACGTGGGTAGACGGGTGCCTGAGGCTGCAGCTGTCATGGGAGGCGCTGCCCTTTTTGTTTGACAAGGAAAAGGGAACTACGAGGAACGACGAGTTAAAAAAAACATATCTCACAATGTGTCCCTAACAGGACACAGTGTGACATTGCAAAAAAAAAAAACCTCAGCACAAAAACAGCATAGCAGAAGCAGGACCGATAGGGGAAGGAGCGGGAGGGGGAAAAGCATCCGCCTTCACCAAGAGCAGAAAGAGAAAGAAAAAAGTTTTTCACTTTGCCTCTGACCATTTTAAATGAGCTTCAGTCCAGAGAGGACAACAGCGTTTCTGAATGGAGTTTAAAAATGGCTCCTTCTTTGCATGATAGAGCTTTAAACATCATTTGTAGATGGCGCAGTGAGCTGTGTTTACAGACAGTCATTTGTGGAAGTGTTTCTGAGCCCATGCACGGATGTTCACAGCCGAATCAGAGCTGTTTTTTATGCAGTGGCCCTGAAGGTCATGGTCATCCAAAATTGACTTGACCTGCAGATTCTTCAAGTTCTTTGGTGATAGTATAAACTGTAGCTGATGGGATAGTCATCTTTCCAAATCCTTACTGAGAAACTTTTATTCCTTTATTGTCTCACCACACCAGTGTTTCCCCTAGAGTAGCTCCCTTGACAGGGTGCTCGTACTCGTTTTTTTATTCATGTGGAGGATGGAGCAGAGTCACGTCTGTGTTGCACGCAAGCTTAGCACTATGTTGCTGCTGGTATTTGTTGGGGGGTGGGGGGTCGGTAGTCAGGGTGCTTGGTTCTGTTGACAGGACGGAGCGCCCTGAATGTATAATGGTAGGGGAAACATTGGACACAGTTTTTAAAGACACATGATCCTCTGCCCATCTTTACTTCGGAGAGATTTAGTCTCTCAAAAACACTTTTTTACCCACTGGCCTGTTGCCAGTTAATCTGACTGGTTTCAAAATTCTCCACCAGCTTTTCCATTTTTGCCGCCACTTATTTTTATAGCCCCTGTTCAAACTGCTTCAAAATGTGTTGCTGACATTAAATTCAAAACAACCTGGTTTTTGTTTCTTAAAAAATGTTCACTTTCTTACTTTATACGTTTGTTGTGTCCTGTAGTGAATAAAATATGGGTTCATGAGATTAGCAATTATTGTATGCTGCTTTTATTTTACACAACAGCACAGTATTTTCTGAACTGGGGTTGTAGAAGCACTTGTTGTACAGTTTGGTTTGTGAAGGACCGTCGGTGTCATTCAGGCTTCGTGTTTGCAGTGCCATAGTGACGCCGGTTCCAGGAGACCCACAGAGAGAAAACACAGACGACGTTCTGCAGGATGAACATCTCAGCGATCAGGAGAACGCTCCCCCTCCCCCACCGAGCCGACCTCCTGGGGAGACAGCCGTCCAACAGCATGCTGATGAGCAGGGGGAGGCCTGGGAGGACACAGACTTCAACCGCAACAGACTCAGGATCAGCCTGAACAAGGTCTGAATAAAGAACACGGTGGGGTGATGGAGATGTATCGTTATGAAACTACTGGCTGTGAAATGTTGTCTTTTTTCTGCTGTTTCAACTTTAACAAAATTAACGAGTAACAAATGTTTTTTAAAGGCTTCTCTCTTCCTGACGTTTCTTAGGGCGCTCAGGAAGAGGAAGCAGGTCGGGGGGCCTGTCCAGTGTCGCCAGTTCGAGGTGGAGGCCCGGAGTCGCCAACAGGTCAGGGTCGGTCTTTACGATACCGTCGGGTGAACAGTCCAGAATCTGACCGCCTGTCCGCCGCTGAGGGTCGAGCTGACGGCTTTGGACAGAGGTGACATTAGCCTTTGAGAAATACTAGAGCTTTTAATGTTGCTTGACTTGAACCTAATGTCAACAGCCTGTCTTTCTGGGACATCGTGGTTTGACTCCGTCTTGTCTCTGAAGGTCCTATAGATTTGATTTAAGTTTAGAAGTTGACACAGACATGTTTGGTCTGATATACTACTATTTGAACTTCAGTTTGAAAACTTACATGTGATTCAGATTTGCCTGAAGTGAAATAATGATTGACCTGTGCTTGTTGTGGCTGTTTGGTTTTGTCGTCAGGAAAATGACTTGATCGTTAAAATTCAACAGTCAAAATAATGTTTTTTCAGTTGAGCTGTAAATGTGTCACACTCCAGCATTTATTTGCATCTACTGTTTTGTGTATTTCCTCCAGGTCTAGGATGGACATGCTGGGCTCTCCATCCCGTCACGTCTACTCCTCGCAGCCAGCTCAGATGCTGTCTGTTGACCCTGGTTGCCGTGGCGATCGTCAGGTCAGTGGTCGCCAGGAGGTGTCAGTGGCTTCTGTGGACCAGGAGGCACACAGCAACGCTTTTATCCGGTCTGTTCCTCTGGCTGAGGAGGAGGACTTTGACAGCAAAGAGTGGGTGATCATCGACAAAGAGGCTGAGCTGCGAGACTTTCTTCCAACTACGTCAGGGACCACTGACGAGGAGCCTGAGGAGCTCCGCCCCCTGGAGGAGCAGGAGGAGAGGAAGAGGCTCAGGGCTGGAGGTACAGTTGGCAACACATTTATCTATATTTGACATTCAGTGAATATAATACAGTATATATGAGGCGGCTGTGGCTGAGTGGTTAGAGCAGTTGTGCTCCAATGCGAAAGTTGGGGGTTCGAATCCACCAGCAGTCATATGCTGAAGTGTCCCTGGGCAAGACACTGAACCCCTCTGATGTGTCCCATCAGTGTATGAATGTGATAAAGCTCTGATTAGTCTCTTTAGAATGATTTGTTCAATTAGCTTAGTAGAGATCTAGTATAGAGCTGTATGAATGGGTCAATGAGGCACAGATTGTTGTAAAGAGCTTTGAGTATCTTGAAATAAGATAGAAAGGTGCTGTATAAGTACAGTCTATTTACCATTCATGTGTTGTTTGGCAGTTTACTGCCATTATAATAAATTTGTGTTTTTCTCTTTGCATAATTTATAATTCCTTTTATAGATGTTGTAGGCTGGTTTTAGTTTGCTTAGAGAATGTTTCCTTGCAAGATATTTTTTAGAGCCTGCCCGATACGGAAATTTTGACTATCACTGATATCGATACCGTGGGCGGGGAAGGCGACCACGATAACTAATGCCTGAAATTTTTTTAGCTTTGTCCACCACCACGAACCTAAGAACACAGCAAGTGGAGCAGGGCTTGTTTATTCAGCACAGCTGTTAGCAACCATGAAGCTAAACTAATCAGATCCAGCTACACGTAGCACTGGTCATAAAACAGTCTTCTTAATGTGAGTTCACATTTTCTATCCTCCACTATTCATCATAAAGTTATCAAGTGTGTTACAAAAATATACTTTAAACCATGAAACGACTTCCCTGTTCATTGTGTAGACAGACGGTCATGTATGATGAATGTGTAATTATTAACGACCGCAGCAGAGTTAGTTTTTCTTTGCAGAGAAGTAAAGATTTCAGACAAACAATACATTTAATTGAGGACAACAAAGATAAAGTTTACAAGACAATAACCTAAACTTTAGCTTGCTAACTTGAGAGGCACGTACTGGAGATAATGACAAGCAGGTTGGAGGATTGAAGAGAATTTATTATTGTTGATTTCTATTTTTATTTTACTGATCAGTTAAATAAACTTACCTCTGTTCAACAAAATACACTACACAGTACTGCTCCCTGCTTCTGCTGTGCTGAAAGTGGAACGTAAGTGAACGGCCATGACTTGAAAGTAGTCTTCATGCACTCTCTGCTGGATACGTTGTACAGTTACGCTTGTTCCAGCATTTTAGGGGTGAAAATTTAGACGTGTTTATATCGGGGCATAATGGGACAATTGTCACAGATACCGATAGGTCCCCAATTTTTTAAATTTATTTAACCTTTATTTCACCAGGAAAATCCCACTGAGATTAAAAATCACTTTTGAAAGAGAATCCTGGCCAAGACTGGCAGCAGCACACAGAGGTTACAGAGCATTCACAACAAAAACAGAAAAAAGTTAACTCCGTCATAAATTAATTAATTAAAAGATTCCTCAGTTAAAACATTTACAGATGATTCTGTCTCCAAATCAGTAAAACATTTAGTGGCAACAGCTCCTTTAGGTTCATGTATTTCTGCAACTGGTTCCAAGAAGATGGAGCAGAAAACAGATTTCTTTCCAAGTTCAGTTCGGACTTTAGGCACCGAAAGTAAAAATAAGTTCTCACAACGAAGAGAGTGTCCTCCGATATATAAATATATTATAAAGGCCAACAGATATGAAGGAAGAAGTCCTAGTATGGCCTTATAAATAAAAATGCCAATGTCTACGAGTGGCCAAGGACGTCCATCCAACCTGATTGTATAAAGTGCGTAAAACCTTTGAAACCTGTTATAAATCTTAAAACTCCATGATAAACAGTATCCAGCGAATAAAGACATTTAAGAGAAGCACGCATGTATAAAATGTCACCATAGTCCAGTACAGACATAAAGTAGCATCAACCAGTCGCTTTCTATCCTCAAAAGATCGACAAGATCTGATCCTGAAATAAAATCTCAATTTTAATCTCAAGTTCTTCACCAGCTGTTGAATGTGGGAGGTAAAAGACAAAGGATCATCTATTAAAAATCCTAAATATTTATACTGTGATACTTTTTCAATTTTCAGCTGTAGTAATGACTGGAAGATCCTTACTTTCAAATCTCCCTTTGGAAAACAGCATCACCGTCGATGTATCTGCATTTAAAACAAGCTTAAGGTGATAAAGATTTGTCTGTAAAACATTAAAAGCTGACTGTAATTGATTAAAGGCACTGTTCGGTGAGAGAACAGAACAATATCAAACAGCATCATCAGCATAACAATGAAATTTTGCATGAGGCACATTTAAATTAAGACTATTTATACATATAATAAACAAAAGTGGAAGCGGACCCAGATTATCGGTTTAAATTATCAGCCCTGCCGATATATCGATCGGGCTGGGCCCTAATTTTTTTTTTTCACCTTCCCGTCCCATAAACTGCACAAATTTTTAAATGCCTGTCGAAGGCAGATATAGTATGGTATAGTCCAGGGGTGGGCAAACTTTTAGACTCTCGGGCCTCACTGGGATCTAAAATTGGAGCGAAGGGCCGGGCCAGGAACAGATGATGGAGTGTTTGTGTGATGTTGCACCCCAGTGCAATACAGCTGACAGGACGCTATTAATTATGGACGATTCCACCTTCTGCCCACTCAAGCAGCCACTAAGTCAGGATTATATGATAGAACAGTGATTTTATTTACAACAGTGAAATTATTGACTTTGTGGAGTTTTACCAACTTCAGGCCCAAACAACAAACAAAACAAACCACTGTATTTTCTCTTACCTGAAGAAAAATAAAATGAACCAAACCACAAGTCTCTTACCTCACTATGCTAATGGAATACAGGAGAACAGTAAAATAAAGTGGCAGCTCACCTCCACAAACTCCTCACTAAACTTTTTACAACTACAGGATCTAAAGTTGATGACAGGTCAGCTGTGGCAGGTTGGGAGTGGAAGCAGCCGTCATCCTCCTGCAGCTCCTCTTACGCAGCAGAGCACCTGCTCAATAATTCACACACATGTTTTTGTATTTCACTTTTTTTATATATATAATTCGCACACAATTAACAGTTTCACACACAAAGCATGACTTACAGTGTTTCCTGATGGATGAAAAATAACATCCTGGTCAGAGTTTTTCTTTCACTTTATCCTGGATTCTTGTCAGCAGCCCAACATGTTTTCCACTTAAATCTGGTGATCTGTCCGTTGTGACAGTGAACTTTACTCCACAGAAGCTTCATTATCTCGATGACAGCAGACGGTTATAAAAATCCTCTCCCCGTGTTTTTCCTTTCAGAGACTCCAGGGTCAAAAACACCTCCATTATCTCAAAACTGTTGTTAATCCCGCAGATTAAAAAATGGGAGATGAGCAGTGTCCTTTATTTCTTTCATCCAGTAAACCGTAACTTAAAGGACTCTCTTGGCCTTTTAGCTTATTTTGCTGGTTAAATCTTCATCAATCAGTTCAACAAGGCGAGTCACAGTCCTACATGATAAACTGATTTTTTCTAACTTACCTTGGCCCTGCGGACACCACAGACCTGCTCTGTTTTTACCATGTTTCTTTTTAAAAAATCGCCATTGGAGAAAGGCTTGCTAGCATAGTTAGCAAAGTGTACTCTTTGAAAACCGCAACAGTTTCATGGCATAAAAACTGCCTTTGACTGGACCTCAGTGAAACAACATGTTGTTGTCCACTCCATTTTAAACACTCGGCACTCACTTTTCTTTTCTTTGATAAACACGTTTATCAAACAGGCAGCTGTGGCTAAGTGGTTAGAGCAGTCATCCTCCAATGCGAGAGTTGGGGGTTCGAATCCACCAGCAATCACATGTCGAAGTGTTCCTAGGCAAGACACTGAACACCTCATAGCCTCTGATGTGTGTCCCATCGGTGTATGAATGTGATCTAAAGCTCTGATTAGTCTCTAGAATGATTTGTTCAATTAGCTTTGTAGAGATCTAGTATAGAGCTGTATGAATGGGTAAATGAGGCACAGATTGTTGTGTAAAGTGATTTAAGTATCTTGAAATAAGATAGAAAGGCGCTATATAAGTACAGTACATTTACCATTTACGTTTTTACAGACGAGTTTGTAGGGCAAAGTAAAAACAAAAGCATAGAAGAAGAAATTACTTCTTCTCCACTGTTAATTTTCCTCCAATACATGCCGGTGTCTGTAGTGCGCCTCTACTGGGGAAATACTGGAACTACAGGTAAAACTAGACCAGTTTTTTTTCTTATTAAATTCATTTTTTTAAATATAATTTGGACCAGTGGCAATTTTAACCTCTTTTTGGGGGTGCTTAAGCACCCCTAAATTTTACCTCAGCACCCCTGAAAAATAACGTATTAAAAAAATATATATATATATTTTTTTTTTAATTAAAAAAAAATATATATATTTTTTTTTTTATTGTCCAAATTTTGGACAATTAAAAATATATATATATATATATATTTTTTTTTATTGTCCAAATTTTGGACAATTTCAGCGGCCCAATTAAAAAGCCCAACGGGCCATATCTGGCCCGCGGGCTGGGGTTTGCCCATGCCTTGTATAGTCAGTCTGTCTAAACTTTCTCTTGTCTGGTCCACAACTTCTGATCTGCCCAAGATAATTTAATGAAACTTGATAAACCTGCAGTATGCATCCTCACATGACAGTGTTGTAAACACCTTACCTCAAGGTCACAAATCAAAATCAAATGTTTTACAAGGTCATTGCTTTAGATTGTTGCATTGCTGTATAATAGTTTGTTGATGGGTGTAAAATATGCCATACTCTTGTTTATACTGGAAAAATTAGATCTTTCACTTTAACATATCATCTCCTTATCTGATTCCCGATCTTGTTCTCACCAGAAATCATGACTACTGGTAGATTAAAGTGGATTTAAGGATCTGTGATATATTTTAATCTGAAAAATGAACTCAGGATTAGCCAGAGTTTAACTGAGTGATGACAGGCGTTGCAGATTGTGTTTCAGTTTGTGTTGATGTAAGGACAAGAGGCTCGTCTTGTTTCTCTGTCACGACATGCATCTGGTCTTTAACATCCATTATCTTTACCTACTTCTTCCTCTCCGGGTCACTGGTGCCCATATCCATCTGTCACAGTGCGAGAGGCGGAGGACACCGTGGACAGGTCTCCAGTCCATCACAGGGACACATGAAGACGAACGTGTTTAACATGAAGGATGATAACTGTTGAACTTTGAATCAGATGACAATCACTGCACAAATGATCAGAAGGTGTCACACTGAAATGTGTTCAACGTTTGGGTTTTTCCTGCAGCTGGTGAACTGGTGGTCCGTCCAAAAACTCAAACCCGCGAGAACAGCCGGGGAATGCTAACGTTAACGGAGGAGGAAGCCTCAAGGAGGAGTGGCGGGAGCCCTGCACAGTCACCGTGCCACTCGCTCCCCTCGGGTCGCCCTCGCCGGAGAGAGTCGGAGCCTACTGGACCTCAAAGACCGGTAAGAGACCCAGCTGACTACACAAAGGAGAATTCAACCGTCTCCTGGCATGTAGTGCAGCTGGACAGATGAGCAGAGTGGACAGATGTCAAACAGTTTGACTCTAAGTGTTCGGTTGTATCAGTGCTGTCACACTGAGGTGATGCTGCCACCGGAGCTCATTTCTCCACCTCCATGCAGTTTAAAAGCACGGTCACGGGTTCTTTGTTGTGATGAAAAAACAAACAAACAAACAACAAAACACACATGAAGACAACACACACACCTCAGGGCGGTCACAGGTTTGCCTCCTGGCCTTTCTCTGTTTGGGTCTTCTACAGGTACTCCGGTTTTCTCCCACAGACAGAAGCAGGCGTATTGTTAATTAATAAGTCAAAATATCCACTAGGTGTGCGTGCGAGTAGTTTGTCTCTGTGTCCCTTGCTATAAAACGTGTAGATGGAATTATATTCTCCATGTAGGCTTCATGAGCTGCACAGGAGATGATGTAACACAATTTTATCTGCACAAACACGTCAACAGTAAAGTCAAAGTCCCACAGTTTGTGTGAACATTACGACGGCATCGTCTACTTTCAACGTGCTCACAAGCCCGACCATGTGAAGGTAGAAACAAACAAAACTCGCGTTGCTCATTTTGTCCGACTGGGAACAAAAACGACTCGTCAACCTGATGACACACAAACATGTCAATAAAAACCTGCACAAAAGTAAACATTTACGTTGGATCCAAAGGGTATAACGATCAAATCCAAGCTGCTTTGCATACATTACTGAGGAGCTTATTAACATTTGCAGGTAACAAAACATCAGGACTGAAGCTGGAACTGTTCTTTAAAAACCTCTCAGGTGGAAAGACTCCTGCTGGAGTCTGCAGCTTCACGGCAGCACCGTTCAGCCGATGAGCACCACTTTTCTTACATAGCCAGCATTAAGATCCCAACAACTAGGCTATTGTCAGTTACAGGCTTACAAGCACCCCCTCCCCCAACACCCCTACCCCTGTTTGCTGTGTCAAAATGATGAACAGCCGAGGAAACGAAAAGGCCCAGTGCTGCTCAAACCTGGCTGAACAGCAGCTGGCAGACTCAGTGATAATTGCTCGTAGAAGATTCAAAAACGTCTCGTCCGTGAATGGATTCTTTACGTACTGGTCTGTCACGGTAACAAATTTCACTGGGCGATTAATTATCTCAGAAATTATTGCGATAAATGGTAATATTGTTTGAAATTTGACAATAATTATTTAAGAAGTTGGTTAATGTTTGTGTGTAGTACCTTTTTTGACCACAGGATGGCAGTGTAAGACTGTTTGAACTGAGGGATGGATAGTGAGGGAGCGAGCAGCGTGTCTCTTTAAGAAAAATGGGAGGGAGGCCCCTTGACGTGACATGGGTTGTTTCTCGTTCCTGTTTGTTGGTTCTCAAAATGGCGGACGCTCGGTGTGGTTTGAGCTCTTTAGCATAGCATTTATCACACAAAGCTTTTAATAAAAAAAATCAGTAAACAAGTTCTCAGCTTCTTTTAGCAGTGAAAAACAACTTTTTAGAAAAAGTCACAGCGTGGATTATGGAGCTTCGACAAGACAGAGGTTTTTTCCTGAGGTCAGCCCGTTAGCTTAGCTCGTAGTTTACCTTCTCAGTTTAGCTGCTTTTAACGATCCAAAAACGCGATTCTGGATGGTTAAAACATTTTTAAAGAGAAAAGAGAAAGGGAGGAGTCAGTGAAGAACATCGGAGTTGAGCCTTTTGTCGTCCAGTGTCTTCAGTGGAAAGAGAGAGACGAAGAAACGATAAAGCTGATAAATTACAATGAGGTCGATAATTTTCATTTATCATGTGATTAATTGATTTATTGTTTATCGCGACACGCCTACGTGCCGATAGTCATTTTTAGCTTGAAATCAAAGCGTTGAGTTACGGTTACGTCGTGCTATTGTTGTTCCAAATAACGGTAGTAAAATCGGTTTGCACCACGAGTTTCTTTTTTAATTCTAAAAGGCCCAGTTTATAGTCGACATCACATCACACACAAACACTTGCTCACTTGTTGACCGTCTCATAAAATGTGTCTCATAATCCCTACATGAGAAAACATGAAAGGTAGAAAATGGGTGGTAAGACTTGAGCAAGTCTTGTTTTTTTGGTCTTGTTGGTAAAGAGAAATAAACCAGTGTGTCACAACTCTGTCTCGGTGGACTTCAGTTATGTTTTTTTGTTAAGGTCCAAAGAAGCTCTGAATGTTGTTGACTGAATGTCAGAGATCACATGGAGTAAACCTAACAAACATCCTGTTACGTTGTCACCTTCAGCATCATTATAACCTAAAGAATATATTTCAATTACTGCCGGTGAGTCACAAAAACATGTTTTTACTGTTCAGCTGGAACAATGGTGCTATCTTTCTGCACTTCTTGTTCCTTGTTTTCACCTGAAAGAAAGAGTCATAGCTGTAATAACTCTGTTTCATACGACGTGTAGCCCTGATGCTCTGACCGGTCTTCATGTCTGAGTAAGTCGTGACATCGTTTCAACACCTGTTCATGCACAAATACGCACAACTTTGGTAATCTTATGAGTGGGAGTGACGGAAGCGGTTTTGTTATCTTGATGTCATACTTGATGATTTAACGTCTTGGTTGTGTTCATTGTGGGCGGGGCTGAACGTGTGGAGGTTGTGGATGTGGGTGACCACTTGTTTTAAATGGAATCAGTCTTTTTCATCTTTTTTAAATCCCTGTTTACTGAAGTGTTTATTGATTTTACTGATGAAGACAAACATTCTTGTACTTTCAAACACTGGTTACCATTTTCAGAATCATACAACCAGTGTTTTATTTTTCCTCAGGTAAAACATGCATTTTATTTCTCTTGTGCTGACGCAGCAGATCTTAAAAGAAGGGGACGAGGGAGACCTGGAAATTTAAACTGGAGTGAACAAAAATATTTATTTAACGTTTTATCATGAGGAGAAAGTCGGCTGTCACACTGTAGAGCTCGATCAATGGTGAGAAGCTGAAGCTGCAATGACATCAGAGGGAAAGGTTTGGACGGGTCATGTGATGTGAGCGAAAGTCCGACAAACACTCTCAGAATGTAGAGCTTGGTTCTGAGAGCTGACCGCCTAGAGTCTGGGGTCTGAGTTTGTGGTCAAAAATACAGGCGTGGGTCATTCACAGAGACAGAAAAAGCTAAAGTTATCCAAGGTTTTAGCTGGAATCGATGGTCTGAAGGCAGGGCAGATGTAAGTGGGTCAGGAACAGAGCAGGAACAAAAAGTCTGGATGGTGATCATTCTGCAGACACTGGGCAGCAGCACACAAATAATAAAGTAAAAGCACAGCACAGGTGTTAAATCCATCCATTATCTTTACCCGCCTCTTCCTTTCCGGGTAAAATAAATTATTTTAAAGGATTTAGCACCTGCTGCAACGGGGGGTGAAGTAGGTGCACTTTTACTAGGCAGACTGGCCCTTGGGAGTTCCTGAACATTTCCCGGTGGCCTGGCCATTTGCTGAGGGAGACTAAAGGCTCGGTTCTGGTTGCGCTTGATTATTTAAAATAAACATTGCTGCTCATGCAGCATGTATTGTTTATTTAAATTATTACAGTATTTAAATTTAAATTGTTTATTTACACAGAAGGAGGGTGATTGGGAGTGACAGGTGATGAGTGTGATTGCAGTGGAGAAATACGTATGGCAGAGAGCGGCAGGTGGCAGAGAGCAGCAGGTGACAGAGAGCGGCAGGTGGCAGAGAGCAGCAGGTAGCAGAGATCAGCAGGTGACAGAGAGCAGCAG